TAGTTCTTGTAGACCAGGCTGGTCTCGAACTCACAGAGATCCGCCAGCCTGAGATTAAAGGTGTGTGCCACCACTGCCTGGCGGAACCATGTAGATCAGAATGACCCGGAACTCAAAAATCAGCCTGTCTCTGCTTCCCTAGTGCTGGGATTAAAGAGGTGCACTAGAATGCACAACAGCATTGATAAATTTTAATCTGTAGCATAATGAAAGTGCCATGGCCTGGTGTGTGATCTCACTAACCTTTGACAGAAAAACAAGTACCTTCTGCTGACCCGCAATCAACTTTCTTTATTTTATAATTTTTGTTTTCTGAGGCAGGGTTTCTCTGTGTAATAGCCCTGGCTGTCCTGGAACTCGCTCTGTAGACCAGGCTGGCTTCGAACTCACAGAGATCCGCCTGCCTCTGCTTCACGAGTGCTGGTATTAAAGGCGTGCACCACCACCGCCCGGTCGCGAGCAATTTTAAACACTAAGGTGGTATTTGAACCATCGACCTAAGGTTCTTAACACTGGGCTTTGGAAGAATGCCTAGCTATAGGTCACAACCACCGCGCATGCCTAGAAGCAGTTCCGGGAACCCGGCGCAAGGGTGGGGGTGGAGCTACGTTATTCCCAGGACCCCGCAGCCGCAGAAAGCAGTCGACCCCGAGCACGGCCGGCGACCAATCAGAGCCCACCGGGGCAGCGCCTCAGCCAATGGCCTGCGCGAAGGCCTTGGGAGCGGGTTCCACATGGTTCGAGGGGTCGCAGGAAAGCGGGCAAACGTGGCGGGTGGGATAGCGGCGTCCCGCTGGCCCGATAGTGCCGTCCGCTAGCGCAGAGTGGAGGGAAGCAAGCCCGGACGGGGTTTTGGGGTGAGCGGACGGTGGCCATCTGCGGCCGAGACGCCGCTTCCCCGTTTGCCTCGCTCCTTCGCCACGGACAAGTGGAACGTCCCAAGATGGCCGCGCCCGGCAGGGGCTCGAGCCGGGCGGCGGCTCCCGAGTTCCCCCCACGTCCGACATCCACGTGGTTCAGTCCAGGCCGCCGCGATCCTCGGCCCAGATGGTCCCCTCGGGTCACACGCAGTGGTTTGGGCCGAGCTAACGTCACAGGGATTGGGAGTGGCTACTTCCCTGAGCACGAGTTTTTAGGGTGGGTAGTCCTGAGACTGCAAACAGTCGAAAGGGAACGCGTACTGGGACGGTCTTGTTTTCACTTTTGAGACAGGGTCGCACACTCTATATTGTTCAAACTGGCTTCTAACATCCTGTGTTGGCCAGATTGACCTAAAACTCAAGGAGATCCTCTTGCTACCCTGCTGAGTGATCGACAGGGTGGGGAGGGGCTTGGGAGAATACTGAATGTTACTCAGATATTTCATAAAAATAACATTCGTGAGCCCGGCATAGTGGCAAACTCCCTTAATACCAGACTCAGGGGAGACGGGCAGAGGCAGGCGGATATGAGTTTGAGGACATAGTGGTTTACAAACTGAGTTCCAGGACAGCTAGGGCTACGAAGTGAGACCCTGTCTTGATTCCCCGCCAAAAACAAAACAAAACAAAACCAAAAAACAAAAATAAAAACACAAATAACAGAAATAGTAACAACAGGGGCTGGAGAGATGGCTCAGCAGTTAAGAGCACTGGCTGCTCTTCAAAGGACTGGGCTCATCCATATCAGCCACATGGTGGCTCACAACTCTCTGGAAGTCCAGTTCCAGGAGAGCACTCTCCTGGTCTCTACAGGCACCAGGCACTCACGTGGGGCAGAGACATAAAGGCAAGCAAAACACCTAGAGATTTAAGATAAATAAAACCCACCAAAGCTTCATATCTTTTTTCATAATTCATGTCCATTACCTGCATCCGGTCCTTCCCCATTCCCTTATACTTAGTCTTTCTTATTCTTTTCTTTGCTATACTGTACCCCATGTATACATTTGCTTACATATATACGTTACTGGTTACATTCCAAATATAACATGCATTTTTCTGAGACTAAGATACATTCTAAGTTCATCCATTTTCCTGCGAGTTTTCAACTTTTTTTTGTTAGCGCTGAATAACATTCCATTGTTTTAAATATATTGTTGTGCCCGGAGTCTGGAACCCCAAAACCACCAAGAGACCGGATCCGATGCAAAAGCAAAGTCTTTTTAATTACAAGTTAAATGGGGTCCTCCGTTCCTATGTCCATCTGTCCGTCGGACCACCGGGTGGAATAGGAGGGACCCCGAGCTGCAGTGGGGCAGGGCGATAGAGCAAAGGGGATGGATGGTCTGGGAGTCTTCAAGTTGCAGGGCTACAGTCTCAGGATAGGCACACCTCCGGGCTGCAGCTGGGGAAAGGTTGCTATACCTGGAAGCCATGGGGGAGCGGTTACTGCATTCCACCATTATCAGTAAAGCACATCCAGAGTCCCCCAGTGCCAGCTAACTTCTGATTGCTTCCTTACCAAATGGAGGACACCTGGCAATTTCTTCCCAGTAATCTTCCCAGTAATTAAGGCAAGGCCGGGGGCTCAGCATATCCTGCTCAGCCAGGGGCCTATATCTTGCTGGGTCTTTTCTGCAGCCTGTCACAGTTGCCAATGCTGGGAGTGGTGGTGGTGCTGGGTGAACCCTTCAATATGGCTAATGAAAATTTGGTGTGTGTGTTAATTGACAACTAGATCGATTTCATTCTTTGTTATAGTGATTAAAGCAGCGATAAAGATGGGGGTGCCAATATCTCTATGGTAGGGGTTCTCTGGGTATATGCCTAGGAGTTCCATTTTTAGTTCTTTGAGAAATCTTCAAACTGATTTCCATAACACTTTATATTAGCTTGCACCACTATCAAAAGTTGATTAAGGGTTCCTTTCTCTCCACATCCTTTCCAACATTGGTTGTCAGATTTATGGACAGCCATTCTGACTGGGGTGAGGTGGTATCTCAAAGTAGGTTTAATTTGCATTTCCTTAATGGCTAAGGATAGTGAACACTTTTAAAAATGGTTATTGGCCGTTTTTGTTTGGTTTTCCCCATGCAGACCTCAAACTCAAGTATCCACCTGTCTCAGACTCCTGAGTGCTGGGATTAAAGGCATGCGCAGTCACCATCACCACTACCACTGTAAGATTTTAGACAATTCTGAAGCCATTTCTGACAATTCCAAACCCTCTCAGCCTCTGTGCCTCAGTGCTTCCCCTCCTCCCCTGGGAACCAAGGACCTAACAGCTACACATGCACGTACTCAGTTCCTGAACAATTACCCACATACGTATGTTTTGACTCAGTCCCCTGGGAAACGGGGTCAAAATGACCTCTTACCTCATCTGATCTGACAATAGTTCTCCAGTCAATTATTGGTATCAGCCCTTTTCGAATAAGCCAATCATAATGGTCAAGGAACAACCCCTCTTGTTTCTATCGGGCCTTCTCCTTTAAAAGTAGACTGTACCAGCTAGTCGGGGTCTCTCAGCATCCCGAATACTGAGGGACCCTGTCATGACAGAATTAATAAAATCCTCATGCTTTTGCGGCTGTGGTATATGAGGTGGTCTCTGGGGGCGACTCCTTCTCGGTTTGGACACTAGAGTCCAACACCACCCTCCAGCCCCTGTTTTTTTTTTTTTGAGGCAGGGTTTCTCTATGTAACAGTCCTGGCTGTCCTGGAATTCACTTTGTAGACCATGCTGGCCTTGAACTCACAGAGATCTACCTGCCTGAGTGCTGGGATTAAAGGCATGTGCCACCATGCCCAGCTCATTTGTACTTTTCGATGACTGGCAATTTTGTTTCCTTGGTATTTAATTTCTGCAATTCTTTGTAAATTCTGGGTATCAGCCCATCATCCGAGGTGTAGCTAGTAAAGATCTCTGCTCTTGGCTCTGCCCACTGTTCCCTTTGCTGTACACAAAGTGTTCGTTTCCATACAGTTCCATTTGTTGATAGTTTGGGTTAATTCCTGTGCTATATTCAAAAAAGTTCTCTAGGTCGGGCATGATGACACAGGCCTTTAATCCCAGCACATGCTGGGGAGAGCCCTGGTCTACAGTGAATTCCAGGACAGGTTCCAAAGCAACACAGAGAAACACTGTCTCGAAAAACCCAAAACAAAAAGAAGGGAAGAAGAAAAAAGAGAAGAGATGATGGAGGAGGATAAAGAAAGGAAAGAAGAGAAAGAAAAAAAACTACAGACCAATTTTTTGATGAACACAGATGCAAAAATTCTTAACAAAATGCTTACAAACTGAATTCAGGAATACACTGAGACGATTACACATTATAACCAAATGGGCTTCATCCTAGAAAGGCAACATTGTTACAACATACATAAATCAATAAATGGAATATATCATATAAACAAACTCAAGAACAGAAATCACATTAATTATTTCAACTGATGTTTAAAACACATTGGACAAGTTCAACAAGTTTTTGTGATAAAAGCTCTGGAGACTGTAGGAACAGATGGAAAATACCTCAAAATAATAAAGGTTATATACCAACATGTTATTATAGCCAACATTATATTAAATGGAGACATACTGAGCATTTCCTCTAAAATCAGGAATGAGATAAGGAAAGTTGCCCACTTTACCTATTTTCTACAATGTCAAAGTCTTAGCTGTAGCAATTACACAAGAGACATAAAAGGGGTAATAGGAAGGAAAAAAGCCACACTCTCCTTATTTCTTTTTTGAGACCCACTATGTAGCCCTGTGGAACTTGCTATGTAGACCAGGTTGGCCTCACACTCATGGAGATCTGCCTGCCTCTGCCTACTGAGTGCTAGGATCAAAGCTGTGTGCTACCACACCCAGCCCATTTCCTGTTTTTAACTTTTTGAAGAAAGAGTCTTTTGATGAAGCTCAGACTGTCCTAGAACTCATGGAAATCTTCCTGTCTCAGCTCTCAAGTGCTAGATTACAGGTGTGGGCTACCAACCACACTTGGTGACTCACGTCGTTTTTATGTTTGTTCAGTTTGCCTTTGTTCAACAGAGTCAGCAATTTCCCTTTTCCTGGTGGTACTGGGGATGGAACCCAAAGCTTTACATATGTTATGCACATACACCAACACTAAGCCCCATCCCTAGTCCCAGTTATCTTTATCATCCTGTTCTGGGGTGTTTTGATTCTTTTCAATGTGTGCCATAGGCATTTAGGTATTTTTGTCTGTGGCCCAGATTTAAGTCAAATACCATTTATTGCATGAAAGACTTAAGCTTCAAATACGATTTAGAAGCAATAGTGTCTAATACTCTGACTTCTCTTGTTGATTTTTATCTTACACCATTAAGCAGGAAAAGGGTTCAGGATTCTCAACAATAACCTTTTAAAAAATATAGTCACCTAGGGCAAGCAGAGAAACTGCATGAGTCAGAAACAGCTTTTAACCTGCAAGCTAATAGTTTAGGACTAAAAGTGACTGGCTTCTTTGGAAATTAGAAGTAACCCATCCCATCTGTGGGCATAAGTCTCCATGTCTCTTCAGTGCATCATCACCTCAGTGACATTCCTGGAGGTCTGCCCTGGATCAAGGATAAGGGATGCCCTACTAGAGTTCTCAGTGGGAACAGCAGTTCTCCCTTACTCAGACAAACTACCAGAAGTAAAGTGTAAGGAGGAAAGGTCTATTTTGGTTCACAGTTTTGGAGGTTCTAAGTCATGGACTAAGCAATCTCTAGCAGGCCGTTAGCTTTCAAAGGTCAAAAATATGTGCTACTGGCATCATCTTGAGCAAGAATCCTTTAACATATGGATATATGGGCTAGAGAGACGGCTCAGTGGTTAAGAGTGCTTGCTGCTCTTTCAAAGGACCCAAGTTTGGTTCCTAGCACCCATGTTGCGTGTAGCTTCAGCTCCCAGGGGACTCAACACTAACGGTCTCTGAAAGCATCTGTACTCATAATCGCACACTCTCACACAGGCACACACATAATATAACTAAAAATACAATAAATCTTAAAAAAAGAAAGATATGGGCCTTTGAAAGCCATTCAAGATTCAAACTCAGGAAGCTGTTCTGAGATGCAGCACTGGAGATTCTATAGTGTTTGTGTGAGGACAGATCTCATCATTTCTATGCTCCAAGAGGGAACTCTGTACCGGATAGGTAATTTAACTTGTCTTGCACCCTGAGCAGGGAAATGAGGCTAAGAAATGAAGTAGCTCCGCCTCAGTCATCTCAGTTCCTACCTGAATTCACAGCTCACATACTGATTTTGATTTCATCTTCCCACTTTTTAAAATGGGTTTTGTTACATTCTAAATTTTGGTAAATAGTCTGGTCTATCAACTCACATCCCTGCTCTTGCACCTCAAAGGAGGACAGAACAATTGTCTCCTCTCTTCTCCGTGGCATCCGTTGTAGATTGCAACACAACTAGTGACAGCCTGGGGGATGACAGTGGTCCATATGTCAGTCTTCATCTGAGTTACCGGGACCCATGTACTGGCAGATAGCATCATAGTGGAGCTCTACAACCTGGTTCTCTCTCCCAAGTTGCACCAAAGCCTGATTCTGCACGCTGTCCCGACTCAGAAGAAGTCCTACCTGAGAAGGGATGGGGAGAGTCAGCAAGGGCAGCCCAGATCCTCAGTGATCTCCAGAGTCATTTCCAGGTGTGGGGACTCACCTTTCCAGCATGTGGTCCCAGCACCACCATCACACGGTGACCCTCTCCCTTGGGAATCAGGGTTTCCAGCATGTTTTCTGTCACGCCTGCAGATGAGGGAGAAAGAAATGAGATCCACAGCAAGGGCCAACCTGGCCAGATCCTGTCATGAAGGCCTTTGCTAATATTTATTAGAGCTACTCCCCACTCGCAAACAGGGTTTCTCTGTGTAGACTTGGCTATCTGGGAACTCAGAGTTCTACCTGCCGCTGCCTCCTGAGTGCTAGGATTAAAGGTGTGCGCTACCACCGCCTGGCTGACAGAGCTACTCTTATATCCTGTTGATAGATGGAGTCCCACTCTACCCATTTCACAGGTGATAAAACCAAGTAGTCCACAGAAATGACCACCGTACAGGAGCATTTTCCTACAAAAACTATTTAATGGGCGTGTTCTCAACATGCCCTGCAGCGTGAGCCTACTACGCATTTCTTTCTGTAAAGGCAATAGTTTTGAGAGGGACAAATAGTCACTTTAATGCTAATCTGACATGGATTACACATGGGCTTAGGTAATTCCTCCCAAGAAGTATGTGCTCTGGAAAAGGATGCTGGGCCTTGTAAAGAAACTGACCAAGGGTTTCTCTGTGTAATAGTCCCAGTTGTCCTGGAACTCACTTTGTGTAGAGCAGACGGGTCTCAAACTCAAAGATCGCCTGCCTCTGCCTCCCCAGGTGCTGGGATTAAAGGTGTGCACCACCACTGCCTGGCTGGCTCTCCTTTTCTTTTTAAAACACAGCTCACGTTAGCCTAAGACTCACTACAGTTCAGGTTGTCCTTGAACTTGTAGAAATCCTGCCTTAGTCTCCTAAGTACTAGAATGGAGCCTTTCTTTCTTTCTTCTTAAAAATTTATGTTAAATTTATTTATTTTACATGCATGAGTATTTTACTTGCATGTATGTCTATGACACCATGTGTGTGTCTGTTCCTTGCTAATGTCAGAAGAGGGCATCATATCCTCTAAAACTGGAGTTACAAACAGTTGCGAGCTGTCATATGGGTGCTTGGAATTGAACCCGTGTCTTCTGGAAGAGCAGCCAATGCTCTTAACCACTGGGCCACTTCTCTAGCCCCTGAACAGACCTTTTCTTTATCATCCTCTAGGATGGGAACATCCCAGGTATAGTGATTTAGATTTACCTTCTAGAACTCGGCCTTCATCTGTCCGACACACACAAGTATCTGGGCTTGGGACATCTTCAATTGTCATCTAGAGAGATGAATGAGGAGGAAGTAAGATGTTAGAAAGTTAAAGGGCCCCCAGTCCCTGGGTGAGGAAAGGGACAGGTTGTGGGGTTCATACCTTGGTGTTGTAATACCGACCACCCTTGTGCAGTTTGTCAATGAACCTCACACGTAAGTCCCTGTGTAACCAGTGCTTGTTCTTAGTGGTTGTTTTCTCACTCTTTGCCACAGGTCCATCCTGTCTGTAGAGAAAGCCAGCACCTGGCTTAGTTTTTTCTTCAGCCATGTTAAAGGCAACCTATCTTCAAAGGACATGCTATAAAACCTACCCTACTGCTGCTCCCAGTTCCTTCTATGCCCTGCCTTGCCTTGGAAGTTCTCCCTGACTGCTTGAGCCACCCCATACCTTGCCTTCTTCTGCAAACCCAGAGGCCCGGGCTCCTGCCCAGGCTCCTACCGGTCTGGAGGGTGTTTCCGCTTCCTCTCTGAATCCTTCTGCCTCCTCTTTGAGTCCTCCTGATTCTGGAGGGCCTTCAATGACAAGGCTGTTCCAGCTGTTCTGTTCTGCTGCTCTGTGGAAGTTTTGCTCACATGGCCTGTTCCGGGGGGTATAGGGACATCAAGGAGAAAGTTTCACTGGCATTTCTCCCCAAGGGCCAGTATTCTCCTGCCAAAGGCCCCATTCCCTATCCACCTCCTTCAGGAAGCTCCTCTCAACCAGCCAGCCCACAGCAAAGACACAGCAAAGTCAACTGCCTAGTGTTCATAACAGAGTGGAAGAACGGCAGGGACCTCTAAGCTGCCCTCCACAACCATTATTGTTCCGTTTGCCTCTCCTTTGCGCACACCCTAGCATCCCAAATCTCATATTTAGCAAAAGAGAGGACCATCACTCCTAAGACACAAGGACCTCCTGGCTTCCATACCCATTTCTTGCTGCTTAGAGAGGATGAAGATGCAGTGTATTAGGTCAACCCTTTCTCAAACTGAACAAACTAGGCTGGGGATATGGCTCCATTGGAAGAGTCCATTCAGTACTGTCAAAGCTGTGGGTTCTATTCTTAGCAGCACCAAACAAAACAAAAATTAAATGAACTATTTTTGTCCCTTCTCATGCTTGGCCTTTGACTGGAAGTCCCAAACTATTCTTCTTCCATCCATATCTGGAGAGAGCCTGCCTGTTCCCTTGCTTCCCCAAGTTTCCAGCTGTAAGAGTCTCACCTGGCTGTGAGGTGTGGTTATCAAACTCCTGCTGGGAAACAGGCCGTAGGCAATACTCACTAACAGTCACAATGCGGTTGCCTACTGCCAGCCGAACCATGGCCCGCACATTGTCAGGATCAAGGCCTTCTACCTAAGGTGGGAGGTAAAGATAAGGCAGGGGGTAAATCTGCTACAGTTGCTAGGTCTAAAATGTCTAGCCCTTTTAGACAAATGGTCTGAGCTCTCTGTGTCTGTCTTACCTTGCTCTGACCTTTTCATCTGTTTGGTTTGTTTTTAGATAGAGGCTCTCACTATGTAGCCCTGGCTGCCCATAACTCAAATCCACCAGTGTCTGATTGCTCGGATTAAAGGTATCTATCACTATGTTCAACTGTATGCTGTGACCTTAGATACCTAGAACCAGGCATGGTTCCTTTCTACTAAACTGTGATTCCTAAGAAGTGGGACCAGGCATATGTTCCTCTCACCCTTAGCAAAATGTAAAACAAAGGCTTCTTTGTATGTATATGTGGTGTACATACATGTACCTACTGCTTTTGTGGCGTGTGGAGGACAGATGTTTACATGAGGTGTCTTCCTTGAATGCCCATCACTTTTTTTTTGGAGACTATGTAACTAGCCCTGGCTGGCCTTGAACTTACTATATTAGCAGGCTGGCTTCAAAGTTCTAGAATCTGCTTGTCTTTGTCTTTTAAGTGCTGGTTAAAGGTATAAACCACCTTACTTCTTTGAAATTTTTAATTTATATGTATGTGTATTTTGCCGGCATGTATGTGTCTGTACACCATGTCATGTGTGTGCATGGTGTCTGCTGAGCCCAGAAGAGGGTGCAGGATCCTCTGGAACTAGAGTTAAAGACAGTTGTGAGCTGCCTTGTGGGTGTTCGGAATTGAACCAGGGTCCTCTGGAAAAGCAGCCAGTGCTCTTAATGGCTGAGCCATGTCTCCAGCCTCACAATCTTTCTTTCTTCCTTCTCTTTTCCTTTTTTTTTTTTTTTGAGATAGTGAACCTGGAGCTCACAGACTCAGCTAGGCTGGCTGGCCAATGAGTTCGAGATCCACCTAGAGTTTCTACTCCCCAGCTTTGGGTTATAGAGGCATGTGTGCCTGGCTTTTGTATGGGTGCTATGGATCCAAAATCATGTCCTCATGCTTGCATGCAAGTCAGTCACTTTACATACTGAGACATCTTCCCACCTCTCACTTTTTTTCAAGATAGGTTCCAGGTTAGACTAGTACTTACGTTTCAAGGACATTGTGGGATATGCCATTCTCTCCCTTTTTTGGTTGAGAACTGAGGCTCAAAAAGGCCCAGCAAATTGTTCTGGAGTACCTACCATAGCAGTGGACCAGGCAGGCCTGCGAGACTAGGACTTACAGGGCTGAAGAGATAGCTCAGCGGTTGGGACAAGTCTTACTCATGCAGAGGACCCGAGCTCAGTCTCTAGAACCCATGCTGGGTGGCTCACAATCACTTGTTAATCCAGCTCTAGGGGCAACCCAATGTTGAGCATGTGTCCTCACCTATACAAACCCACATACATACACTTGTTTTTGTTGTTGTTTTGAGACAAGAGGTCACTATGTAATCTTGACTGGCCTGGAACTCACCATGTAGACCAGGCTGGCCTCATATTCATAGAGATCTGCCAGCCTCTGCCTCTTGGGTGTTGGGATTAAAGGCATATAGTACTACGCCTGGCTAGACATAAACATAATTTAAGAAACAGTGCCATGAAGAGTTTTACACTGAGCGAGTTCCTTCCTTTCTCACTTCCCGGTTCTTGGTTGGGGGCTGCCCTGAACATAAGACAGAAAGATGGCGGCCACAAAGACAGCAAGGTCTCTTGAGTCAATCAACTCTAGCTTCCAGTTTGTTATGAAAAGTGAAAAGCAGATGCTAGGATACAAGCAGACTCTGAAGATGATCAAACAGGGCAAAGCAACATCACTTATCCTCACCACCACCTGCCAGCTTTGAGGTAATCTGAAATGCCAAAACTGGTGTCCACACTGCCAGTGGCAGTAACACTGAATTGGACACAGCAAGTGGAAAGTACAAGAGAGTATTCTGCTGGCTTGCTAGGTCATTCTGATATTAGAAGCATGCCAGAACAGACTGGTGAAAAGTAAACCAGAAAAGCTCTTTTTAAATAAAACTACCAGAGCTCGTTTTATTGCTATATGTGTGTGTGTAACCCTCCCACAGATCCCTCTCTACTCTTTCAAATTCATGGCTTCATTTTTACTAATTGTTTATATATATATATATATATATATATATATATATATATATATATATCTCCATCCCTAAATATAACCTGCTCAGTTCATATAATGCTACCTGTAAGTGTTTTCAGGGCTGACTGTTTGGCATTTAACTTTCCTCGATTGCCTATAGTTCTTTGTGTGGGTGAGACTTTTTATGGATGTAGCTTCTGATATTGCTAGGAGACAACAATCTTGTAGCAAAGTCCTCCTTGATCCTTTGGTCTTACTTTCTGCCCTCATTTCTGCAATGTTCCATGAACTTTAGGTGCAGCAATGTTTTGTAGATGTAGCTATTGGGACTGGGCTCCACAACTCTGTATTTTGACTGGTTGTGGTTTATTTATTTTTGTAAAAGGGTCTTGTTATGCATCCTACGTTTCCTTGAACTCTTGGAAATTCTTCTGCCTCAGTCTCCTAACTGCTAGTATAATAGGTATGTTCCACTATGGCCTGCTTCTTTCTCGTGGTTTTATTTTTTCCTGTTAGATACTTCTTACTATTGACCCAGACCTCTATGCCTTTAAAGATTTTATTTTACTTTAGAAAGTTACTAGGCTGATTTTGGACTTACTATGTAACCTAGGTAGGTCTTGAATTTGTCATCTCCCTGCCTCAGTTCCTGGAGTATTGGGATTACAAGCATGTACGACATCAGGCTTGACTGGCAGCCTTTCATCCACAATTCTTCCCCACTTGGGCCCTCAATGCAATCTTCCCTTCTACCTGAATGGCTTCAGGGATATGTTGGTTTCTTACCTTCCCGTAGAGGCCCCGGTAAGGGCCAGAAAGGACCACAACTGCTCCTCCAGGCATCAACCCTTGGGGTTGCCCTTCCTTATCCTTCTCTCGATCCCCATCTGGTCTTGGTGGGTGGTGAGAGCCAGTGGAGGCTAAGGCCTGGGCCTCCATCAGGTTGGCACCTAGCCCTAAGCCTTTGGGCCTTAGAGAGTTGACTCGGGGCTTCACTACTCTGCAGAAAGAACACAGGCTTATGGGAGTACAAGTCTTCAACACTTTCCTGCCAGTGTTCAAACACACCCCAGAAATATTTAGTTTTAATTTTTTTATTTATTTGTGTATGTTTGTGTACCATCACACACACGTGAAAATCAGAGGACAACTTGTGGAAGTCTATTTTCTTTCTACCATGTGAGGCTGAGGTTGTCAGGTTTACGGGCAAGGGCCTTTACCTGCCCAGCCACCCCACCAATCCCACAGTTATATTTAGATTACCCTTTTTGATATCACATTAGAACTTTCTGAGCTATAAAAATGCCAATTTTTCTTTTCTGGTGTTAGGGGCTGAATCCAAGGCCTCAATGTATGATAAGCATACTGAGGTGCACTCTTAGCACCCCAAAATAGCAATTGCATTTGGTTCAAGTGAATTAACTTCCTGGGCATACTAGCTATTACATCCTACCTACAAGTGCCAAGTTAGGTTTGTATAAACAAATATAGTAATATCTCTATAGAAGAAACCATATGATATGTATACAGAGCAAGGGGAACAGTTCAGAAACAGTTCCATAAGTCATATTTGACTACCAAATGACTTAGGAATTCTTTGGGATTTACATCTGTGAAGGGATTTTGTTTTTCAGTCCTAGGGATGGAACTCAGGGCCTTTTACATGCTAGACAAGCCTCTATCATGGGGCTACACATCAGCCCAATAAAGGGATTATAACTCTATGAATTAAGAGTAAACATGTTTAATTTCTGCTTTCTAGGGACTAAGGCCTGCCATATGCACTCCATGAGCATAATTTCATTCAGCTCTTGCAACAAACCTGTGAAGGTAGCACTGTCACCTGCATTTTTCAGATGAGCAAACTGATCCACAAAGAGGAAACTTTATGTAAGTGGGATCTTTCTTACTGTTTTGAAGGCAAACCTGAGGTCGTTTGCTTATTGGTTTATTCTGTTGCAACAACAAACTTGAACCTAGGCTCTGTAGAAGCCAGAGTTTGAAACAGTAATGGGCAACTATTGAACTGGTGAGGGCGATAATGACTTCCGTCACCACCTGGAAGGTTCTAGATTAAACCTTACCACAGGGATCTTGTTTATACCCACTGTCCACCCCCACCCCCCACCGAACTCACTGACTGAAAGTATTGCCGATGCCTTTGCCAGGTTTCCATCCCATGCCCCGCAACATGGCCAGCCCGTAGGCCTCCACAGGGACTGCCTCATAGTCGGCTTCCTCTGGCACCTATTGGTCAGGCAGGAAAAGGAAGTCAGGCGTTGCGTGTGATGGGCTGTTTGCAGTGTATTTTCTGCCATTCATGAGATGACTTCCTACACTTCTGGCCCTTGAACACACCATGTGTGTGCCTGGTTTCAGTACAGGTCAGAAGAGAGCACTTGATGCCCTGGAACTGGAGGTATGGGTGTGTGTGCCATGGGACTTCAACCCAGCAGCTTGACAAGAGCAGCAGGTGCTCTTAACATCTGAGCCATTGCTCTAGTGCCCCTTATCCCCCAGGGTTTTTTTGTTTTGTTTTGTTTTTTATGGTTTGAGACAGGATCTCATTATGTATCTCTGGCTGTCCTGGAACTCTCTGTGTTGATCAGACCAGGCTGCCCTCTAACTCACTGAGATCAACCTGTCTCTGCCTCCCAAGCGCTGGGATTAAAGATACGTACCACCACACCCAGTTCTCGACGGATATTTAAAAGAATCTATTATAGAGGCTGGAGAAAGAGCTCAGTGGTTAAGAGCCATGCTGTATATACTTACATGTAGAAAAAAGTTATGCACATGAACTAAAAATAAATATTAATTCCTTAAAACTTTTAAAAGGAACTATTTTGTGCCAAGTGCTATTTTAGGTGCTGAGGATAAGGAATTAATAAAATGGAAAACCTCTTTTGGGGCTTATGTTCTAGTTGTCAAGACATACAATAAATCAATCCTGAAAACATGATATTATCAGGTGGTGATACAGTTTATAAAGAAAAATAAAGCAGTACTGTGCACAGTGGCACTGTCCAGTATCCTAACTATGTTTGAGACAAGGAGGGAATGTGGTTTAAAACCAAGAATCTGATACCAGCCTGGTAACACGGTGAAACCCTATATCAGAAACAAAAACAAAAAACTGACTAAGGAAATGCAAAGAGAGAGGAGTGCCACTGACAGTTAATCAAAGATTAAATAGGAGGTGTGAACAGATACAGCTGTGAAAAGTAAAGGCCTACTGGGCCTGGAGGCACATGCTGCAGGGGAGGTGGGAGCAGATCTCTGTGAGCTCAAGGCCAGCCAGAGCTCCACAGTGAGACCCTGCCCCCCACCAAAAAAAACCAAGTGGGGTCAGGAGAAATGGCTCAGTGGCTAAGAGCGCTGACTGCTGTTCCAGGGGACCCAGGTTCAATACCCAGCACCCACATGACAGCTCACTGCTGTCTGTAACTCCTGTTCCAGGGGATTCAACATCCTCATACAGACATACTTGCTGGCAAAACGCCAATGTACATTAAAACAAACAAACAAGGGAGCTAGAGAGATGGCTCAGGGGTTAAGAGTACTGGCTGCTCTTCCAGAGGACCCAGGTCAGTTCCCAGCATCCATATGGCAGCTCACAGTTACCATGGATAGAGTATCTAAAGAAGTGGGGGCTCAGGGGCGGGTGGGGGGAGAACACAAAGCCTGATAGAGGCGGAGACGTGAAGACCAGAAGTCCAGGGTTATGCTTGGCGACAGAATGAATTCAAGGCCATCTTGAACTGCATAAAACTGTCTCTAAAAGAAGAAACCCAAAGCATATCTGAAGACTGGTGATAATGGTTCAGGTGAAAGACAGGGTGTATTACAAAAAAAATATGAATAAAAGCTAAAAAGCTGAGCTCAAAAATGTTATTGAATAATAAAGCTTTATTCCTTTACAGCTACCCCATACACTGCAAGTTGCCTCAGATCAACACACAACACACCGATTGAACACCACAAGTGTGCTGTTCATGGGCTGTTGCTGTTGCTGCCATTAAAAATACGCACACCAGGCCAGGTGGTGGCGCACACCTTTAATCCCAGCACTAGGGAGGCAGAGGCAGGTGGATCTCTGGGAGGTCGAGGCCAACCTGATCTACAAGAGCTAGTTCCAGGACAGGCTCCAAAGCTACAGAGAAACCCTGTCTCAAAAAACAAAACAAAGCAACACAAACAAACAAACAAAACCAAAAATGCTCACACCGATATTTCTTTCCTTGTCAGTGCCTAACCTTCCAGGCGTCACCGTTGCCACTCCTCTGAGTGTCCTAGCCACCTCAGCCTGGGCTATGCTACTTGCTTCCTTCCTTACCTTCACTTATTAGTCATACTTGGTCATGGAAAACAGAGGGGATCCTATTACAACCCTTGCCTGTTCAGGATTTTCCCACAGCTCTCTGTTCATTCACGGGAACAGACAACTCCTCTCTGTGGCTCAGAAGGCCTCTTTTCATCTGGCCCCCTTCCACCTTTATCTATGGCCCGACCCCTCATTCATTCCAATCCAGTCACACTCCTTAGTGTTCTTCAAGTACTACAGGTTAAAAAAGAACAAAGAAGCTGTGTGGTGGTGGCGCACACCTTTAATCCCAGCACTTGGGTGGCAGAGGTAGGCAGATCTCTGAGTTTGAGGCCAACCTGGTCTACAAAGCAAGTTCCAGGACAGGCTCCAAAGCCACAGAGAAACGCTGTCTCACAACAACAACAACAACAACAACAACAACAAAGCAACAAAAAAGAACAAAGAAAGAAAGAAAAAAGGGGGAAACAAACAAATGTGATTCCAAAGAGTGTGTACCTTGACGGAAGCACTTTTTAAAAATACTACCTGTTAAACTGCTAATAAGAGTGGAAAGAAGAAAGGCTAATCAGCGAGGCTTTGGGACACACACACATGCCCTGCTATGTTTCAAGAGGCTAGGCAGACAGGGTAGAGGGAATGATGCAGGAAGGAGGCAAAGGGGCAGCTCACTGTCTCAGCCTGAGGTTCGCTGTCTGTTCCTTCCCCACTGGGACTGCATCCTTTCTGGATCATAGGGATAGTAAGCGTGGGATCAACACCTGCATTCTCCCTCTCCTCCAGGGACTTCTTGGATTCTAAGGAAGAATGGGAGGGATCAATGAGGCCATACTCTCTCCTTCCAACTTCCCCTGCTTCTATCTGCACTGGGGCAGAGCAGAGTGGGGAGGTTTCACTTACCCTCAATGAGCTCCTTCACAGCCAGGGACAGAACACCATCTGACACCAACTCAGTCTTAGTTTCTGAGGATGGCTTAGGGCTCTTGGACTGTGGTTGTCTGCGAGAGCCATTCTGGATCAATGGGATGACCAGTTCCTTGGGGGCTTCTGGAGGGTTCACACTGATGTGGGTAGAGAGAGAAAAGGTTGGGAAAGCAGAAATATTAAAAAGCAGAAATATCAACCCAGCCCTATGAACCATGTTCCACGGGTTACTTTTCACAGGTCCCCGCCCCCTGGCGTTCATTTCTTTTTTAACACTATCTCACTATGTAGCCCAGGATGGTCTTACAAACTCAGTCCACTTGTGCAGCCCCCTAGTGCTGGAATTACAAGCATGCATCATCTCTCCTCGTGTCCCCAGCTTTTGATGTGACTTGCGGAAATCATTCCTACGTTCTCAACCACAATGACCTATAGATTCTTCCCAGTTCCAGGCTAGCAAACTGCTTTCCAGACAGCTGTCTTCCAGAAGTCCTTCCCTTTGGAATTCCAGATCAGTTTCTTTTTTTAAATAGTTTTTTTAATAATTTATTTAACTTTATGTACATTGGCCTGACGGTGTCAGATCCTCTGGAACTGGAGTTACAGACAGTTGTTAGCTGTCATGTGGGTGCTGAATTTGCTTTGTTCTCCAAATCGGAAAAGCTCCCAAATAGTTCAGACTATCATTCTCCCTTCTTTCCCGTTCTCAAAGCGCACATGTCCTCAAGTCCCAACGACTTCTTCTCTTGAGAATATATACCTCTGCTTCTGGTCATCAACTCTTTCATCCACCTCTCTAACCCCCTCCTTCTTGCCCTTAAATTATTAAATTTAATAATAATTAAATTTTATTTTTCTTTCTGCTTTTTTGTTTTTAATACAGGCTCTTATATAGCCCAGGTCAGCGTTCAAATCTTGATCCTTCTGCATCAGCCTCCCAGGTGTTGTCATTATAGGCGTTTGCCGCCACTTCCAGATGCTTCCAAAAATTTCTTAAAGGCTGTGTTTGAGGCTTTTCAAGCCACTGTCACCAAAACAACTCATATTCTGGCCTTCCGCTTACGTCCACCGCACTTATTTTCAAAACGTGAAAGACCCGGTGCTTCACCTTTGCAGCTCTCTCCCTTCCACAGTCTTCAAGAAATCTTTCTCCTCTGAGGCATGTCCTTCGCCCACTCCGGGGTCTGCCAGTAGCCTCCGGGCAGAGGTGCGAGTGAAACCGAAAGAAATCGGGGCCGCTGAAGGGACAGCCGGCCGTGCACTTTCTGGGTCCGCCATGTTGTCCCAATTCCCAGGCCAGCGCTGCTTGCTGGGAAGTTTAGTTTAAGCTCAATACACTAGGGGCCCGCCGAGGAGCAAAAGAACAACCTATCCCACAATGCAATGCTTCTAGGCCGGTCTTGAAGCCGTGGGAAAAAACTATCCTGCATTTAAACGCTTAACATCATAGGAACGCGCCGCGCCAAGCCTTCTGGGAAATGTAGTTCTCAGTGTAGTTCTTGGTAGAAGATCGATTCGGTTCTTGAGAAGTTTTTAAATCTTTATAAGGCAGCTTTGGGGCATCCGATACCCACTTTCAGAATTCGCAGGCACCATGCACACACGTGATTCACATACATAAATGCAGGCAAAATGCTTATATACGCAAAATGATTAAATCTTGTTTGACAAATACATATGAGCATCCAAAATATGTACCTTATTGTGCATTACTGATGTAGGAAGTGTCATAAGGAGAAAACACAGGACTGTGCCAGGGATGTGGTTCAATTTGCAGTGCTGGTAATTTAAACCTTGAGCCTTGCCTAGGCAAAAACTGTACCACTGAAATATATTTAATTTCTTTTCTCTTTTTTTCTCCTCCTTTTTTTCCCTTTTCCCATCTTCTAATACTTTCTTGTCAAATGTCTTTAGAGCACATGCTTTCCTTTCTTTTTGATTTATTTGGTCTTTCGAGATAGGGTTTCTGTGTAGCCCTGGCTGTCCTGGAACCTGCTTTGTAGTCTAAACTGGCCTCAAACACAGAGAGATTTATTTCCCTCTGCCACCCGAGTGCAGGGATTAAAAGCATGTGCCACCATGTCCAGCTTATTTCTTTTTATTTTATGTGCATTGGTGTTCTGCCGGGACGTATCACTGCGTGACAGTGTAAAATCTCTTGGAACTGAAGCTACAAAGGAGGAGGTCTAAGGCAAACTCTATGTAAGCTGCCATGTGGATGCTGGAAATTGAACCTGGTTCTCTTAACCATGGCACCACCTCTCCAGCCCTGAAGCACATGCTTTCTATGTTACAGTTTTCTGACCCTTTTGAGTTTTTGGATGAAGCTGTGTCTTCTGGTCTTTGCCACAAAGGACAGGGACCTTCGGGCTGAAGCCTCTTTACCTGGGTGCCCCCCTTCTCCTTCTTTTCTTTCTCCCTCCCCCTCCCTCCCTCCCTCCCTCCCTCCCTCCCTCCCTCCCTCTCTCCCTTTCTTGAAGAACGATTAATAAAAGCTCTGGGTCAGAAATTGGGGTTCAATCTGAAGATCCGAAAAGCAAAACAGTTAGCCACTGGCTCTTACCTCGACCTCAGTCTGAAATGGCGATCCGGCCTCCAGGAATCTGAGAATGACACTGTCTGAGAGCTGTGTCCTCCTGTTTTATAATTCTCTCTAGGGCTGGGATTAAAGACATGCACCGTCCGGTTTCTATGGCAACTAGCGCAGCTACTGGGATTAAAGGTGCGTGTCATGGCTACTGAGATTAAAGGTGTGTGTTACCGTAACCTGGTCTGTAAGGCTGACCAGTGGGACTGTTTTACTCTCAGATCTTCAGGCAGTCTTTATTTATTAAAATACAATTGAAACACTACCAAACTTCCTTCTTTTCTTTCTTCCTCCTTTCATTTCTTCCTTCCTTCCTTTCTCTCTCTATCTCTTTAGTTCTCTCTCTTGCTTCCTCCCTCCTCTCTCTCTCTCTCTCTCTCTCTCTCTCTCTCTCTCTCTCTCTCTC